TCGGGGCGGCGGCGGCGGGGGGATGCTGTAAAACGCTGGCCGCGGAGCTCCCTCCTCCCTGCCCTGCTCCTGCCAGCGCTCTCCCTCTGCCCTGCAGCTGCTGGCAGGGCCCCGGACCCGGGGACCGGCGGGGCAGACAGTGCTCAGCAGCAGCAGCCGGAGCCGCCCTGGGGACCCCGCCGCTGTGCCGCAATGACAGCCAGGCAGCCGGCGGGAGCGTGAAAGCCGCCCGGCTCAAGATGAACGCCTCCTCGGCGGCTGGCAACCAGAGCGGCCGGCCCTTCTGCCTGCTGGCCCTGGGCTACGCGGAGACGGTGAACGTCTGCCTCCTGGAAGCGATCGTCATCGTCTTCCTCACGGCTCTGATCATTTCGGGCAACGTCGTGGTGATCTTCGTCTTCCACTGCGCGCCTCTGCTGAACCACCACACCACCAGGTACTTCATCCAGACCATGGCCTACGCCGACCTCCTGGTGGGCGTCAGCTGCCTGGTGCCTTCTTTGTCCTTGCTGCACTACCCCATTGTTCCCTGGGAACCCTTGATCTGCCAGGTCTTCGGCTACGTGGTGTCCGTGCTCAAGAGCGTGTCCATGGCCTCTCTGGCTTGCATTAGCATAGACAGGTACACGGCCATCACCAAGCCGCTGACCTACAACACCCTGGTCACTCCCTGGAGGCTCCGCATCTGCATCCTGACCATCTGGCTGTACTCCTGCCTCGTCTTCTTGCCCTCCTTCCAGTGGGGAAAGCCTGGCTATCACGGGGACGTGTTTCAGTGGTGTGCCAACTTCTGGGAAACGGATCCCTATTTCACACTTTTCATCGTGCTGATGCTCTACGCCCCAGCCGCTTGCATCGTCTGCTTCACTTACTTCAACATCTTCCGCATCTGCCAGCAGCACACCAAGGAGATCAACGAGAGACGCGTGCGCTTCAGCCCCCAGGAAGGGGAGGCCGGGGAGGCACAGTCCTGCCCGGAAAAACGCTATGCCATGGTCCTCTTCCGCATCACCAGCGTCTTCTACATCCTCTGGTTGCCCTACATCATTTATTTCCTGCTGGAGAGCTCTCGCATCTATAGGAACCATGTCGCTTCCTTCTTGACCACTTGGCTTGCCATTAGCAACAGTTTCTGCAATTGTGTCATTTACAGTCTCTCCAACAGCGTCTTTCAGAAGGGGCTCAAACGGCTCTCGGGGGCAGTGTGCGCCTCTTGTGCGAGGCATAGGTTAACAAAGGACTCCTTTACCTCTCGGGGCAAAAGGCCTTCCAGTGGATGCCATGTCTAAGAAGCATGTCGCTGACTGGGGAATGCAGGGACAGCCCTGTAAATGGCAGCATCCCTCCTGTACCACAGCGTGCATTTTTAAGAGGTCCAGATTTGCAAAAACCCCCCCC